AGCCTCGGGGCTTGGGCAAAGCAAGGGCTGGGGTGGGGGTGGGGGGGAGGACAGAAAAATTAAGGGAAGCACAGAGCGAGAGGCAAGGGAAGGGGGAACGCTCCAGCCTGCTGTTCCTAGTGAAGCCAGAGCATTTCTTCCTGGATACCCGCCAGCTTCCCGTCAAAAATGTCACAGGACAGAAAGAGAACGCGCCCCCGACCCATGCAGATTGCCGCAGGGGCTAATTGCTCCCATTAAACCCCCGTGGCCGTGATGCCCGCACGGCGCCAGACACGTCGGGAAGCCACCAGCAACACGCGGCTCCTTTCGAGACCGAAGCAGCCGAATTCTCTCTGCACCGCCCCTGCCCTGGCCGCTGCCAGGCCTTGCTCCCGTCCTTCCCTACAGGAGGAAAGGCATGGATTTGGGGGAAGAAGCATGTGCCGGGAAAGCCACAGCAAGAGGCAATATCTTCGAGCAAGAATACCGGCATTCAGACAGGCCACGCAGCTCCGGCAGATGCAGCTTCACCCTTCCTCCATCCACACCGATGCCAAAAAAAAAACCAAGCCAGCCCCATCCTCTTTTCAAGAGATTCAAGCTTTCAGAAATAAAACAGCTCCCGAAAGGATCGGGCTTGCCTTAAAACCCAGCAACTAAAAGAATGACCCCAGCCCAAGGGGGCTCCCACCCCTTCTGTAGCCTCCTGAAGGTCGGTGCCTGCTGGGCTTGCCTGCCCAGCCTGCCACAGCTGTATTTTGGGGGAAATCCAGGCTCATTGGGGCGATGCTGATTGTCACCGCAGAGACATTTGCTGCAAGCAGCCCGGAGCAGTGAGGGGACACGTGTGCGTCGCGCGGGGCAGGGCCACCAGCCCAAGTCTGCTTCTCCTGGGGGTTATTGCAGGTGACATGGGATGATGTGGCATCAGTGAGGGCTTTAATACCTTATGCATGCGCTGTTCCCCTCCAAATGGGATCTCTCTGGTTAATGCTTTCCTCCACCGGTCTCGTCCAGACTTGACTTTGGACGGCAGGTACACCCTGCTGGTTTTCCTGCTCGGGGATGCTCGGGGCTCGCTGGGGCTGTGCCGGCGTGGCTGGGCTCGCCGCGGAGGGGCAATTCTTGCTTGACTCAGAAGATGTCGGTGCCCACCAAGTAAGAGAGCAGTGGGGACAGGCAGGCCCCT